TCTTCTTTTTATTTTCTCAATATCTAAAAATATTAGAATAAATCTTTTTTTGAGAGTCATAAAACTTAGAAAAAAAATTAATAAAAAAAAAAAAATAATATATAAAATATATAAAAAACTTTAGTTTTAATTTGAATGCGCTTATAATTTAAAAGATATTGTCAAAAAATTATTTTAGTTTTATAAAAAATTGATTTGAAATAATAAAAAAAAAAAATTAAAAAAAAAAAATGAAATGAAATTAAATTAAATATGAAAATAAATATGAAATTAACAAATCAAAAAAATAATAATAAAAGTGGTCCGAAAAAAATTATTTTCTTTTTTTTTTTTTTGGTTTAAAAATTTTATTTTATTATATTATATATTATATTAAAAAGAAAATTTATACATCGTTCAACATAAACAGAGTATTATTTATATTGTTTATAATAAAAATGGGGGAGTTTTTTTATGGTTTTTAAGTTTATATATAATTTTTTATACATATATTTTTATATATTTATAATATCACAGTACTTGGGTATTGTGTATATATAATGAATCGATATTGGTTTTAGATCGCTTAGTTGATACGAACGTAAGCACGACCGCTGCCTGAACCTGAACCTGAGCCTGAGCCTGAGCCTGAACCTGAAGCAGCACCAGTACCTGATGAACCTGAGGCGGAACCGCTGTATGATGAACCAGTGTTGATTGATTTAGAGTCTGATGAATCAGTTGAGTTTGAGTTTGAGTTTGATGAACCAGTGATGGCACCAGTGATTGATGAATCAGATGATTGTGAGTTTGATGAACCACTGTTTGATGATTGTGAGTTTGATGAACCGCTGTTTGATGATTGTGAGTTTGATGAACCGCTGTTTGATGATTGTGAGTTTGATGAACCACTGTTTGATGATTGTGAGTTTGATGAACCACTGTTTGATGAACCAGTTGAGCTACCTGAGCCTGAAGCTGAACCACTGTTTGATGAACCAGTTGATGAACCACTGCCTGAACCTGAACCTGAACCTGATCCTGAACCACTGCCTGAACCTGAACCTGAGCCTGAGCCTGAAGCAGTTGAGTTGCTTGAACCAGAACCTGAACCTGAACCAGAACCTGAACCAGAACCTGAAACTGAACCAGAAACTGAACCAGTTGAGTTACCTGATCCTGAACCAGAAACTGAACCTGAAACTGAACCGGAGCTGGTTGAGTTACCTGAACCTGAACCTGAGACGATACCACCTGAGCCTGAGCCTGAACCTGAGCCTGAAACTGAACCAGTTGAGTTACCTGAACCACTGCCTGAACCTGAACCAGAGTATGATGAACCGGTGTTTATTGAGTTGCTACCTAAAGAATTTAGATTTAATGTTAATAAAATATTGCATCCATATGTTATATTCGTTTATAAATAGAATTTTAAAAAAATAAAAAAATAATAAAAATGAAAAAGTGGTTCGAAAAATTTTATTTTAATATTTTTTTTTTTTTTTTTTTTTTATAATTATTCTATATATAAACCCATTTTTAAAATTTTAAAAACTTACCACTGATTTGACATAAAATGACTGAAGCAAAAGATAAAACGATTAATAAAATAAATAATTTATTCATTTTTAATGTATATGTTATAATATTTAATTATATAAATCAATAGGAAAAAAAAAAAAAAAATTTTAAAAATCTAAAAAATAATTTTTAAAAATTATAAAAAAAAATAAAAAAAAATTAAATAAAATAAAAACTTTGAGAAAAGGTAGTTGGAAAATTTTTTTCGGTCTTTCTAAAATTGTTAGATTTTTTTGTTTTTTCCTACAACAACGCTTTAACCACCAATTTTTACCTGATAATTTGGTATAAAAAAAAATAAAAAATAAAAAAAAAAAACAAATTTAGGAAACACGTTGCCCTTTAATATAATATCACAAAAGAAAAATAAAAACAGAAAGTTTTTTATTATTTATATTAAAATAATATTATTTCCACCGAAATTAAAAAAAAGATTTCTTAATACTGTTCAACAACTTTTCCAAGGAGTATCGTTGTATTGTACAAAAAACTTTTTTTTTTTTTTTTAATTTTTCATTTTATTTTTGGTATTGTGTAAGTTGTTTTATAATCACACATCATTCTTTAAATAATTATTAAAAGATATTATAAGAAATTGATTTTTTTTTTTTTTTTAAAATTTTCTTAAATTTTTTTTTTATATCTTATTTTTATACATTTATTTTTTTAAAAAAGATAATATTGATTAATTATTACATATAAATTTAATTTATTTTATTTCTATTTTAGAAATGAGGATTTTAATTTTGATGCGGATGAATAAAACACACACAAATGGAAATTTTACTTGGAAAATATTTAAAATAAAAAAAAATTAAATTTAAAAAAAAAAAAAATTAAAATTTTAGTTTTAAAATTTATTTTTATTTTTTTAAAATTTATTTTTTATTTTATTTTGTTCAAAACATCAGTTGCTATTTTTTTTTTTTTTTAAAAAAATTATACAAAACATAATCTCTATTTATGATGTTTTTAGTTTTCTAAAATAAAATTTAATAATCAACCATAACCTCATTTATTTTTTTATATTTATAATCAATAGTAATAATTTAAATAAATTATAATTTAAATAAATTGTAGTTATAATAAATGGAACAAAATGGTAACGGTGTGAATTCACCCATTACCAAAAGAAAAAGAATTAATAGATTCAATTTCAATTTTAAAACCGGTTCTCCTATTATAACTGAAAATAGTAATAATGATAATGATAATGATGATAATAATCATGACAATAATATCAACATAAACAATGATATGTTAATAAGTAAACCAACAAAAGCAATAATAAAGAAAACAAAAGTATCTAAACAGCCTGCAAGATCAAAAAGATTAAAAGAGTATAATGAAGAGACACAAAATGAAAACAGTAATGGTTCTTTAGATTCACCAATGGTTTTAATTGAATCAGATTCCCCACCGATACAACCATCTTTTAATTCATCAAATCAAACCACCTCGACCACAACAACTTTAGTTGAAACTCCTCCACCACAATCATCTCCAATATCTGCATTTCCATCACTACCACTTATACCAATTTCAACTAGACGAAGAGTAAAGATTCAAAATGTTAAAGAGGAAATAGAGCAAACCCAATCTCCACCGTTACAGCCAGAGCAGGCTGTAAAGAAAAAAAGAGGAAGAAAGCCAGGTGTAAAAGAAATAGTTATAATTAAAGAGGAGGTACAAATAGAGCAGGACAAAATGATAGAGGTTAAAAAAGAGCAAACCATTAAGGAAGAAAAATCAAAAGAATTAATAGATGAGGCACAACAGCCCCAAATCGAACAAGATCAATCAATAGATGGCGCACTAATAAAGGATGAGGTCAAAGCAGAAAATACCACCACTACAACTACAACTGCCACTACCGCAACAAAAACAAAAAAATTAATTACAAAAGAAGATTTAGAAATCTTAGGTAAAACCATTAGTGATTATGAATGGGACAAGGTATTAAATAGAATTTTAGGTATTGGCATTGGAGATATACCCCAGCAAAGTAAATCAACACTTAAGAGTAAAAGTAATGACAATTTTATTAAAGCAATCGAGCTTTCAAGAGATTATTTAGTTAAATACGAAATACCATACAAATGTGCCGTTCCATCATTTGTGAAATCAGGGCCTCTGGATAATGATGATTTCATTGATGACATTATAAAATTTTTAGAAGCCAGGAGCGAGTTAAATATCAGTTTTTCAAGTGAGTTTTCAAATAGCAGCGATGATATTGAAGATTTAAATTTATCTTTGGGTGCCATAGGACCTCAAGTACCCCCAACACCAATATTAAAAAGAGAAAGTACAATTGTTCTTGATGATGACGAGGATGATATATTTAACATACCATCATTCATGGATGAAGTTTTTAAGAATAGTCAACCATCGGATCTTAGGGCCAAGGGTTTAATATCTACAAATGATACAAATAACAACAACAACAACAGCAACAGCAGTTTGGGCGTTGATGATGATAGTGAAGAGGCTTTAATGGGATATGAAGATCAATCAATAGATTTATTAGACGGAAGACGTATTATTAATTTTGGAAAAGGAACAAATCAAAGTTTTACAGATAACTTTGATGATATTATTCAAGTTGATAGTAATGGGACCAAATCAGTCGAGTGGTATAGGGATATTGATAATCGTGTTATCACAAATGATTCCATCAGTAAAGATTCAGAAGATTGGTTATTATATTTAAAAACTCTTGAAAAATGTCCATTGGCTATACAAGGTAACAAATTGATAGATGGTGAAAGATTATTTTTTGATATTGACAAGAATGAGCGTGATTTCTCAGTGTCAACAACTACATTCTCAGCCTATTCAATAGAATCAAAAAGAAAGGTTGGCTATTTAAGTCTTGTTGTTGGATCTCTTTTTTTCACTCCACTTACTAAGGATTTAATGCGAAAAGGTTATCTTAAATTGGCTGGTACAGCTGTATTAACTGGATATGATGGTAGAGTGCTCGAAGGTTATTGCAGTGTCGATTTTTATCTTACTCGTAAATCACATATTACTAAAGGTGACCATATTCGTCCAAATATTGGTGATGATAGATATTTGGATTTTTACTTTGGCTCTTTAATAAAGTTTTTGGATACCCTATTACAGGGTCCGGTTTCTGTTGGAGTTTCTTTACCAGATTCAGCGCGTCAAACATCTAATCAAGCAATTACAACTAGGGATGGTTTTGTTAAAAAGAATCTTTTACAAATGGATACACCTTCTTCATTTAAAAGTTTATTGCAGGAGCACCAACGTGAAGGTCTTTGGTGGATGTTTTCAAGAGAGCAAAAGCCATCAGTTACCTACAGTGACGCTATTTATGAAAATTGGAGAATCTATAAAACTGCTGAGGGCATAGATTTCTATTATAATTATGTTTGTGATAAGATTAGCTTAAAGAGTCCAACTAGTAGACATAAAATCGCAGGTGGTTTACTCTGTGACGAAATGGGTTTAGGTAAAACTGTTATGTCAATTGCCTTAATCATGCAAAATCATCCTATATTCAATCCATCACGTCAGCATAGAGATGCTTATGGAGATATCCGTGAAGAGTTAGAAAATAGAAATACACAGCTCAGAAAAGGTAAAACCTTTACAAAACCAAGGACAACATTAATCATTTGCCCTGCAACCTTATGCAGTCAATGGAAGAGCGAGTTTAAAAAGCATTTAAAACCAGAACACTATAATCAGCTTAGCATTCTGGATTATTGGGGTCCAAATAGAAAAAAGAAATTGGTTGGTTTAGATTTAAGTTTAGTAGATATTGTCATTACCACACATGGTAGTTTTGGTTTAGAATGGAAGAAATATGAAAAGGAAGTCCAAAACGGAAATTCGGGTATTAGTGTACCACCATTGTGGTCAATTCATTGGTGGCGTGTTATTGTTGACGAGTCTCAAGTCTGTAGAGCCAAAACCTTAATTTTTAAAGGTTTACAAAATATTGATTCAATTCATCGTTGGTGTTTAACCGGTACTCCAGGTATGTAAAATATTAAATATTATTGTTATTGTTGCTATTGTAAATATATTAACACCTTTTTTTATAGTTCAAAATTATTTAGAAGAAATGTTCCCAATGTTAAACTTTTTAAATGTTTTCCCAATTGCTGAAAATATGAGAACCTGGAGAAGATTAGTAGATAAGCCAAAGAACATCACATTATTAAAGCAAGTGTTAAATCCAATTTTATTACGTAGAACCAAGGATGAAGCTAAAGAAACCAAATTACCACAGAAACATTACTCCACTGCTTACTTGGAGTTTGATGAGTATGAAAAGGAAGATTATGCAGTTTTATTTACAACATCAGAACAGTTGTTAAAAAAAATCCAACAGCGTCGTGGTGGTATTTTAAAGAATTATGCATGTGTTTTGGCTTTGCTTTTAAGATTAAGACAGTGTTGTGACCATTTCTTATTAATTAGAGCCAAGAAAGAGGAGTCTGATAGTTGTGGCATCTGCTTTGATATTGCAACAAATCCAATTTATAATCATTGTGACCATTTATTCTGCTTGGACTGTATGGAAGAACAAATTAAAAGTGGAGATGGTAAATGCACCCAGTGTAATGCTCAATTAATTCTTGAAGGAAAAAATACAGAGCCTACCGATGATGATATTACCTTGCCAATCAAAGATGAGCTAGATATTAAAGATGAATTGGAAATTAAAGATGAAAAGAAAACAACAACCACTACAACCACCACAACAGCATCAGCAAATAAAGGAAATCATAGCGATTTATTGGATATGGGCTTTGAAGAGGAGATAAATGAAAGAGAGTTTCAAATTGATGTCAATAAAAGATTTGGCGAACTCATTCACCAGAGAGAAAGAGAAAATCAGAAAAGAAAATTATTAAGAAAGGATAGATTATTTTCAACAAAAATTAAACAGTTGATTCAAGATTTACATACAGATATGTTGAATGATAAAGAAAAGGAAGATGAAAAGTGTATTGTTTTTTCACAATGGACATCAATGCTTTCATTAATAGAAAATATTTTTATTGAAAATGGTTGGAAAAAAAATATTCATTACAGCAGATTTGATGGTACATTGACTTCGGTTCAAAGGGATCGTGTATTACAAGCTTTTAATCAAGATGATGGACCAAGAGTTATGCTAATGGGTCTTAGATGTGGTGGTGTGGGTCTTAATCTTACTCGTGCCAATAGAGTTTATTTGATGGATCCTTGGTGGAACATTGCTTTACAAAATCAAGTAAGTTCTTTTTTTATTTTTTTGTTACAATTAAATATATTTACTAATTTTTATATTAAACAGGCTATTGGTCGTGTACATAGAATGGGGCAAAAGAAAGAGGTTTACGTTAAAAATTATATAATGGAAGAATCTATCGAAATTAGAATTTTACAATTACAAGAATCAAAAGAGGAACTTGCAGAGGCTATATTTTCAGATGATTACGACCCAAGCCAACCACTCAAAAACTATAAATTATCTGTTAACGATATTAAGCTATTGTTTAAAGGTTTCCCTCAAATCGAAGCTAATAATTAAAAAAAATAATAAGCTATTTTGTATATTAAAATTAAAAACAATAAAAACAAATTTATATTTTTTATTTATTATTTATTACTATTGTTTATCTGACAATTGAAATTTTATCACCATCATCATTTAATCCTGCCATTGGGTAAAGTTTGGTATTTTCGTCTATTTGAATATCTTTAAAGGGAAGGCCCAATGATTTATCATTTTTAAATAGATATAGGGAGATAGTTTTTGATTGTGAGGTTGATGTTGTTGGGTTTAGTTCTAATTTGATTTTGATAGTATCACCAGTTGTATAGGTCTCACCAAATTCAAAGGTTTTAATATCCTTTGCAGTTTCATGCTGAGCTTCGTTTTTAAAACCTTTAATAAAAAAAGTAGATTGGGATGAGGGCTCTATAATACCCACTTCGATGAAACCATGGGTAGAGTCTATATGAATCGACCATTGAGCAAAATGATTCTTCATTAGATAATCTAAAGATATAAAATTGTTTGAAAAAATTCTTACTGGAGGGTAATCATCACCTTGAGCTCTTTCGTGTCTTGATGCTGTTAAGTCATTGTTTGAAAGTTGTATTGGTTTTTCATTTTCTTCTGAAAATCTTGTTTTATCAATTATATGATTAATATCCCATTTAAAATTGAAATCTATAATATTTTTTTTTTTTTTTTTAAAAATTAAAGATTAGATTTTAATATTTTGTGATAGTTTTATAGTTTTATTAATTTATCTCTTACCTTGTGTATTCATTTTTATAGCTCTGCAATAGTAAATGAAATAAATTAAAAAAATAAAAAATGTTTTTAATTTCATTTTTTGTAATATTGAAAAAAAAAAATAAAATAAAATAAAATTAAATAAAAATTAAATTAAAAAAATTTTAGAGTGGGGGTACTAAAATATATTTATTTCTTTTTATAACTAAATGAATAAAAACATATATATAGGAAAATATAAAAATAAAAAAAATAATTTGTTTAAATAAAAAAATAGAAATAAGATTATAATATTTTAAATTAATAATTTATCTTAAAATTAGAATTTTAAAAAAATTTATTAAAAATTGTTCAAACCATGATCAATTTAATATAAAATAATAGATAATAATTATGATTATATTTATAAAAGAAACAAAACAATTTAAAAAAATTAAAAAAACAAACTGGTGGTATTGTTATCATTTTAAAATTTTTTTTAAAAAAAGAAAGTGGTTTACAAAAAAACATTAAATAACCATTTGTAAACTCTATAAATAGTACAAATAATCATTTTTTCTATTTAAATATCGTATCCAAAAATAGAGTATTGCTTATTTTAATAATAATATAATTTTTTTTTATTTATAAATAACAGAAAAATAAATAGATATATTGTTTTTAAAAATTGGTATTATTTTTTATAAAAAAGTAAATAAATAAATATAAATTTAATATAACAGTTGAAAAAAACATAAAAAACAATAAAATAATAAAAATAATACTTAAAATAAAAAATTGTTATTTTTTTTTATTCTATTATTTTTTTAAATTAATCGTTTTCTTTTTTTCCTCCAACTAATTATATTAATTTAATAAAAAAAATTATTTATTTAATAAATTAAAATTATTATTTTAAATTATTATTTTTATCTCCAATTGGATTTAAAACAGTTCTTCTTTTTTTTGCGTCCTCTTCCATCATTATTTTTGAAAGATTGACTAATGCCTGATGGCTTTGATTTTGTTGTTGTTGTTGATTTAGTTTTGAAATGAATGGTGGTGAGGTTAAGATATTTGAGCCTGATGATTTACCTAAAGAACCACCAGATTTTATATTATTTGATGAAACTGTTGATTTTAAAATTGGACTTGTATTGGCAGATAAATTTTTTGGTATTAAAACTGAGCTACGACTTTTAAGTGTTTCTAAAGTTCTTTTACCCTTTTCGATTAAATCTAAAAGTAATTGATATACTTCATCTTTTTCTTGTTGTTCTTGGAATATCATTTCGATTGATATATTGATATTATCAGAGTTGGTGCCAGAGAGAAGTAGAGATAATGGTTTAACAGAGGTTTGTATTTTAGTTGAGTGATATGGTAAGCAGAATGAAAATTGATATTTCTTTGTGAAGGATGAGTTTTTTGTAAACATTATATTATCATTGAACAATAATACATATCGACTGTGAGAGTCATCACTCTTTCCTTCTTTAATTCTAACCCAACTCTCTTTTAATATCTTTCTTGTTGATTCTAAAATTGTAAAAGGGGCTCCTTCTATCATATTTTGGATTTCTAATAATCTATCATTATTCTCTTTTGTATGTTGGCATTGATTTACAAATTCGGCGACCTCTACAAGTTTACCATGAACTTCTTGTAATATTTCATAATCTTTATCATCCTTTAGAGTAGTTCTAATTAATTCATTAAATAATAAAGGATATTTACAAATACGTTGAATGGGTTTAATTAAATAATCCAACAATGATAGACCTCTTGAGTTGGGATTGCTTGCTATTTCATTTTTAAATTGCGAAAATGTTGAATTGTTTTTAACCAAATCGTTAATATTTTGAATAGATTTGGGGTGATGTGTACAGTATTGTGAATACATTTTAAAGAATGCACTCTATAATTAAAATTAATATTAGTATATTATCTTTTTTTTTCCGAGATTATATTTGGTAACTAAAGATATATTTACCATTTTTTTAAATACTAAAATAAAATTATGTAAATTTAATGTATTTGATTTTAAATCATCAACAATGGTTTTGCTAACATTACGAATTATTTCTATATTTGAAAAAACACCCATTAATGTTGGTTTATCTATTCCTTTTAAAGATAATGGTTCGACCATATCATTAATAATAAAGTCTAAATCTCTTAAATAATCTTCTTCTGTTGATAATATCTCGTCTAAAATTTTTTTCTGGGTTGCTTCGTTATCACTTGATGTTGAGGAAATAGAGGATGTAGATGATGTCGATCTATGAATATATGTACCTTGGCTATTTGCAACAGGATGTGATCTTGGCTGAGTTGGTGGTTTATTGTTGCTCGATGTTAGAGATGAAGATGAGGATGAGGATGATGCAGAAATTGGAATTTTATTTTGACTATGATTAATTTGTGAAGCTGATGAAGCAGAGGCAGATGTAGATGTGGAATGGTTACTTTCAATGCTGCTTCTACTGCTGCAGTTCCCATTTGTATTTGTGGCAGTGGTATTGGCACTATTTACATCATTAAGCAATGAAACATCTATTAAGTCACCATTTTCATTGTCATTTTCATAATCTTCATATTCTTCTGGATTTGGTGATCTATGGTATTCTTCTAAAGCTTCAATCGCATTTAAAACGGTCTCAGTGTCTAGATCCATTGGTCTCTTTTTAAAAGATTTAAAATCGATGTTTTCAAACTCTTGATAGTTTGCTTGGGAGTAATCATTACTTCCATCAATACTCTCTTGATACTGTTGATCATTACCATCATAATTGGTCATTGTTAAATTTTCTATACAAATTTGTTGTTGGTTATAATCTTCATTTGAAAAATCATCTTTATGTAAATAGTTATTATCTGAATATTCTACTTGTTGCTGTACATTTATTGGTTGTTGTTGAGATTCTTGTTGATTTGAATTGTTATTATATACATTGGTTTCATTTTGAGTTTCATTTACAATTGGGGGTGGGGGTGGTGGCATTTCTTTAGGACCACTTGTGGTGCTCATATTACTAAGATTACTCTCTACACTCGTGCTTCTTGAGATTGGTGGTGTTGGTAATGGTCTAGAGGATCTTTTGGGCCCATTGGTTTGGAAATTTTCGTTTTGTTGTGGTATATTTTTATTTATTGTTTGGGGGATTGGTTTGTGAGGTTGTTGGATGGGCTTATTTAAATTTGAATTTATAAGAGGTTTTTGACTTGAGAAGCTTTTATTAAAACTTCCACTATTACTACCACTATCAGAATCACTATTTACACTTAATTTTCTACTATGTCTTGAACTAGATATTGGTGAGGATTGCTGTTTTACTTCCTCATCCTTTTGTTGAAAAAATTTTACTCTCTCTGATATATTACTATTATTATTATTATTTACTGTACTAAATGTTCTACTTAATCTTTTTGGTGAACCTGGTATTTTATTATTACTGTTATTATTATTATTATTATTATTGTTTGGTATTTGATTAAATTTGCTTTTTATTTGGTCAACATGTGTGTGAGTTGTAGAATTAAAACTATTATTACTAT